CAAGGGCAATGCTGTGGCCTCTTTCTGGCCAACAGCAGGCGCAGGGAAGCATCTCTGGGGACTTCTGATTTCCACCTTGGCTTTCAGAGCTGCCTTGGCTCCTGGCCCCAAGAACTGGAGAACCAGGAGATGGGGGGAAAAAGTCACTCAGTTGTGTCCAACTCTTTGCAACTCCATGGACTGTAGCCCGCCAGGCTCCTCTGTCCATGGGGTTCCCCAGACAAGAATACAGGAATGGGTGGCCATTTCCTCCTCCAGGGGAATCCTCCCGACCCAGGAATGGAAACCTGGGTGTCCTGCATTACAGATGGGTTCTTGGCCATCTGAGCCACCAAGGAAGTCCCAGGAGATGCAAAGCCCAGGCTAGTGTTGGTCCAGCGCTGGAAGGAAGGCCAGCTCAAGTGACCGATGCTCCAGAGTCTCCTCCTGAGAAAGGAGTGAGCATCCCTTGAGGCCAGTTCGGCAGAAACAGCACAGCTGTCTGGAGGATTGCCCAACCCAGTGAGCATCATGCAAATCCAGTCTTTAGATTCACACAGCCCACCATATACCTGAAATTTTTTTTTTTAAAGGCATGAAGGGACTTCACTGGTGGCCCAGTAGTTAAGAATCCGCCTTGCAATGCACAGGACGTGGTTCGATCCCTGGTTGGAGAACTGAGTAAGATCCCACATGTCAAGGGACAACTAACTTAGTCCCTACACCACAACTGGAGAAGCGGGCATCCACAGTGAAAGATCCCGCATGATGCAGCTAAGACTGGCAGCAGCCAAATAGATGAAGAAACAAATTTTAAAAAATGTGAGGACTAGACCCAGAGCAGTACTTCTGTTTCCCATTCTTTTCAGGCAGTTTCCCAAATCACTGTGTTGATGAAAGCAGAAAACGCCCAAGTCACTGTGTTGATGAAAGCAGAAAACGCTTGTCGGAGATCTGTCCAAGGACTGCTCCGTGGAGGGGATCGTTAGTCGTCCCTCTGCTTGTCCGCCTCCGTTTTTTCCCTGCTCTTCTGCATCTAAATCATCTCAATTTTCAGGTCTCTACAGTTTCCAGCTGATGCCTTACGTTGCACAGGGAATTGGAGGCTTGGCTCTGGGGGAATGTCATGTATAACGTGGAGGTTCCCATTCAGATGATGCTGCAGGGTCAGCTTTCTTATGGGTTTGTTTTGTCTGCAGGAGGATTTGGCTTGCCTGATTCTTCTCACTTTTCAGAAGATGGCTTTTTCCTTTATGCAATTTTCTGTAGTGAGAGATTCTTTGCAGGATTAAAAATGAAGTCTGCAAGACTCAGTAATCTTTCAGAAATTGGTCCCATCTCACTTTATTTAGTTAACATGAGATTTTTTTCAGAAAAATCCCCCCCTTGCAGTCTAAAGACTGCAGAGAGTTGTTGTTTAACCTGCCAGGGTGTTCAGAAAAGTGCAAGTCCAGTTACAGGTGTTTTTACCTAACACAGGAAAACATCTGTCATAATATTTGGCAGGTTGCAGAGCTGATGCTGCGTGAGTTTGGGTGGCTTCCAAGCAGAACGGGTCAGAAACTGATGGAGACAAATCTGGGCCTCCTCATTCTGGGGCGTAGCGTGAAGCCTCCCTGAAGCTCTCCTGCCCACTGCTGACCTGCTCCTGGCATTACACCTTCGCACCTAATAAACCAGGGCTCTGGAGCACATGTGGTCCTAGGTGGTCCTGCCGAAGTAGAGGACCCAGCCGAAGACCAGTTATTTGTAAGCTGGGTGAGTTACCGCCAGCCACCCCACTGCAAAAAGATTTGGTACAACTTCCAAAGCTCATCTATATGTCTCTGAAGGGAGTGACTGCACCACAAGTGGAGTTTTGCAGCATCAACACCACGTTCATGTTTGTTAAGTTTTTCTTTATGACAGGAAGGAAGGGAAAGGAAACACTGAGATGGCATAATACTGACGCCTTAGGCTGGTGCAGTCCGTTTGCTGAAGGCTGGGGGCCCTGGCTCTGACAGGGACCCACTGCACCTTGTTTCAAGGAGCTGGAGCAATCATCTTTTTAGGAATTACTGTTGGATACTCAGGTGGCTGATTTTTTAAGTGACGTATATTATATTTGGGGTTTGGGGAAAACTTAAGAAAATAACAGGATTACTTTGTTAAAGAGGTTCCCCTTTTGTTGTTTCAGCAGGGCTGTTAGTTTCCCCAGGTCAACACAGGGAATTCAAGAAAGCAGGGCGTTGGCTTTTGGAGTTTGACCTGGGTCTTGTGCATCTTGGTACCCAACTTCTCCATCCCCACATCTGGGGGATGGGCGAAACACCCAGAGCAAGGCCTGGTGCAGACGTTGAACACATGCTGAGGCCCCTGTAATGAGGATCCAGAAGAAAAACATGATGTCAACGCTGCCCTGTTTATGGTTACCCTGAAGGGTCAGGCAGGACCATTGCAACCCTTCACACCCAGCCAGCCAGTGTCCTCTGACCAGTGGGGGAAGGATGGAGGTGGCAGGGGCGACAGTGGCAGTGGGGGGCAGGGACCCCCGCTGGGAGGCCACAAAAGCCCCTCTTGGCCGAAAGAGCCAAGATTGGGAGAAGTGGGTGACAGGTTTTGGTGGGCTGGGGCTGCCCGAGGTCCTCAGGTTAGCATCCTTTCCGGGGTGAGGATGTGTCCTGTTAGATACAGCAGGCCCGTTTTCACAGTTCCGTGTCCTTGCGGTCCTTCTTACCATGAAACCGCCCCACGCTTCCCTGCCCTCTCCTTTCCGGAGGGGAGGACCTTCCAAAGAGAAGACCTGCGGAAATTGGGCTCGCAGAGCTGGGAGACGATCTGCTGCATCCAGATAGTGCTGTTTCCGTTTAGTTTGGGGCTCTAACGTCTTCCTGTCCTTTTTGATGTATCTTCGAAGTGAACACATCCTCGGGCTGCTGGCGAGATGTGCCTATAGTGTATTGTGTGTGGCCAGGCCCGTTGCCTCTGTCTCCCCTGCCCAGGCCTTTGAGCCCATGACGGTGAGTGTCCCAGAAGAGAAATGAGAGAAATTGGCGCCAGCAGGCTGCTTTCATAGATGGAAACCCAGGGTTTTGCAGTGTGGCTTTTTCTTTTTTTTTTCCCTCACTGTCATGCATCCTAGGAGGTGGAGGGGATTGGGGGAGGATCACAGTCGCTTTGCCATCTGCCAGGGCTTTTTCCCAGTTAACTTGAGGCCTTACTGGCATTTTGGGGTCAGAAGTGGTATTTAGGTCACAGCCTGGGGTCCCGGGGCTGTGCCCTCAGGCAGTGCTCTTGACTCAGTTCCTTTGTAGTCAGTCAGGCTTTTCCCACAGTTTTGGCTTTGGGGGACCAAGCCCTGTTTGGGGAGTCATGCTGGCTTCAAGAGAGCTTGTCCCAAAGTTTAATACGTACTGGTCAGGACGAGGGGGCGCTGCCCTCGTATTTCCCTGTCTCCAGTTTCTGCACAGGAATTTGCACTCGCTTTCCTTCTCACTCTTAAGTTTTCAGTATTTCTCATTCCAAAAAAAATTTTTTTTTAACTGGTAATTATCTTTAGAGATTCTGATGGAATCTTCGGTTAAGGGACACGTGGGTGAAGACGAAACCTTGTGAAGTTTAATGGCTGCAAATATGTATATTGTCTTGTTTTTAAATGTTTTGACTGCACACAGCCCTTGTGAGCGTGGGATTCCCAGCTTTCGGTTTCACTGTGAATCCTGTGTCTTGGAACCTAGTTGGAGGACCCTGGTCTCGGCTGTGTGGCGCTTCCCAGGGCCCTGTCTGTACGTTTGAGGAAATGTTTTAATGCTCCTCTGTGAGGCTTTCCTGCATGCAGGTAACTGCCATTCTCTGCATTAATGCACCTCATGTCCCTGGTGGGCTCTGTAAAGTCTTAATCCATGGGAACATGGGAGATGATCCAAGAGATCTGAGCCAGGCCAAGCCTGCTAGAATTAATGCTTCCTTTGCAAACAGATTTAAAGGCAAACATGCCTCAGATGCAGCCTCCCCCCTCCCGGCTCTGCTTCATAACATTGGGGTTTAGTCGCTGACCTCTGTTGCCCTCTTAAAATGTTCAATTCTAAGCTACACGCGTGGGCTGTATTTCTGCCGCTGTGGTTTTTCCAGACAGTATGAAAGGGTCTGTGTTGTGTGAGAATACGGGAAAGAATCCGTTTGGGCTTGAGCAATGTTAATAACTCGTTTGATTTGTAACCAGAGTCATCTCGGAGCCAGATTTCAATATTGGCAAAGTGTCGGGCGGCAGACCTGGCCCATCTCTCGGGCACCTCCTGGTCTAGAACTACGCGTGAGGCTTTTTCTTTCTTATCCCGCCTGCCTGTTCACATTTAATTTGTTCTTAGCTGTGTGCAATGGATTAACATTTCATCAGGGTGGATTAAGATTGCATCGACATTAAAGCAGTCTTTTTCTATTTTCCTCCTGTCACTTTTAGGCGATCCTGATCTGGACGGGTGTTGGGGGGGGGCACTTTCAGGAGGGGGAGGCGGGCTCATCCAAAAAGTGCCCTGGTGAGGATGGGGGAGATAAGCCAGGGCTTCAGCGTGAAAAGAATTCCCAGTTGCAGGTCGGGAGGCCTGGATGGAGCCCACAGCCGGTTTCATCGGTCTAACGAGATGTCACATGGAACAAAAGCTTTAGGGGTTTTATTTAGCTCCTAATCCGCAGGCTGAGAGAGCAGAGGCCCATGTGAGCGCTCCGGCCAGGAAGGGGGGTGGGGGTGCCCGGCTGGCTGGCTGCAGCCTCCTTTCTGGGACTGAGCCGTCAAGAAAAGACCTCTGGTGCTCCCGTTGGAGAGTGAGGCAAAGTTACCGTGAGTGTTTTGTCTACTAAGGTTTCGGAGAATTAATAATTCAGGCCGTACTTTGAAATCGAAAACCCCCAGTTGGTCCTTCCTGCCGTCTCGGAAGGGTTAGAATACAGCCAGGTCTGGTTTGGATGCATGTAATTGAAGATTTATAAAGAAAGCCTTCCTCCTCTGCCTCTGGCCGCAGTCTTTTTTTTTTTTTCCTTTTCCAATGCCGGTTCCCAGCAGGCATATAAATATTGGTCGATCTCAGAGCTGGGATGCCGCCGGTTGGTACGAGGGCCCCTGGGAGGTCGCTGAGGCTCCCGGGAGGAGAAGCTCTCTGACGGACGGAGGCGGAGAGGGCCCTTGGTACCCTGGGCTGCGGGATGTCGCTATGCCCGGGGCGGCTGAGCCCTGCCTCTACCGGGAGGCCTTCTACAGCACAGCAGCCGGAAGGAAGAGCTCCGTCCCTGACTTCGCCTTTTACGACAGCAGACAGGCGGTGATGTCGGCCCGCGGGGCCCTGCTGCCCGGGGATTACTACAGTGACCTGGCTGGAGCCGCCCGGGCACCCGGCGAGCCTCCACACCATCGCCACCCGGGAGCTGGCCAGCCGCTGCCCAGTTACGGAGCGCCGGGCAGCAGGATGACGTGGGAGCCAGTGGCAGGCCGGGGCCCTGTCCTGCAGGACGCCGGTCACCTGTACCGGGACCCTGGAGGTAAAATGATCCCCCAGGGGCAGCGATCACACAGCAGGGCCCCTTCGCCCGTGCGGTACGTCGGGGAGCCGGCCGACAGCAGGTACGGGGCAGAGGCGCCTGCTTACCCCACCAGCCAGGTCTACAACGATGCGGGCGAGAGGCCGGTGGATTCTGCCACCTCCAGGCAGGCGGCACCCACGTGCCTGGTTGTGGACCCGGGAGCAGCAGCTGCCTCGGGGATCGGCATGGGGACCGCCCCTGGCGCCCCACCCCGAGGCTACGGGCCGGCCCGGGAAGGCGTCCACCCCAGGATGGCTTACGAGAGGTGCGAAGCCGACCCACCTGCCTTCCAGGGGCCTGGGGGCAGCAAGAGGAGCGTGATGCCGGAGTTCCTGGCCCTCCTGCGGGCGGAAGGCGTGGCGGAGGCCACGCTGGTAGCCCTGCTACAACAAGGCTTCGACTCCCCGGCGGTCCTGGCCACCATGGAGGACGCGGACATCAAGTGCGTGGCGCCCAACCTGGGCCAGGCCCGCGTGCTGAGCCGCCTGGCCAGCGGCTGCCGGACGGAGATGCAGCTGCGCAGGCAGGGCCGGGGGGCACCCCTGCCCCGTACGCGCTCCAGCAGCTTCAGCCACCGCAGCGAGCCCCAGGGCGACCCGGCCAGCCTAGGCGCCGCAGCCCTGCAGCCCCAGCCCCAGGCGGGGCCCCTGCAGACAACGTCCCCTCGGGCTGCAGACCCTGCTCACCGCCGCCCCTCCAGCGCGCCTTCCCAGCACCTCCTGGAGACCGCCGCTACCTACTCTGCCCCCGGGGTGGGCGCCCAAGCCGCCCACTTCCCGTCCAACTCGGGGTACAGCTCCCCCACCCCTTGCGCCCTGACCGCGCGCCCGGGCCCCGCGTACCCGCTGCAGGCCGGCGTGCCCTTGACTCACCCGGGCCCCAGGACTGCCTACTCAACGGCGTACACGGTGCCAATGGAACTGCTGAAACGGGAGCGGGGCGCAGCGGCCTCCCCCGTGCCCAGCCCCCACGGCAGCCCCCAGCTCCTGCGGAAGCCCGGCATGCCCTTGGAGCCCCCCGCCCTGCCGCCAGCCAGCCAGAGCCTCCACACACCTCACTCGCCCTACCAGAAGGTGGCCCGGCGGACAGGGGCCCCCATCATCGTGTCCACCATGCTGGCCCCGGAACCAAGTAATGCACCCCTCCCTGCCTTTCCCTCGCGGGGGACATTGAGGGGACGGACGGTGGGGCCCGAGGTCTGAGCTCGGGACAGCGGGCCCCTCGGGTTCCTGTCGCTGTCCTGCCAAACCTGGAGAGACCAACCCACCCCCGACTCAGACCCACGTATACACCCCCTCGTCCAAACAGGGCACCCCAGCCAGCTGGCCAACACACAGGAGGGTTCTCCTGGGTGAAACTGGTGTGTGGTTCAGGCTGACCCCCTGAGAATGGCATTGCCTTCATTTTTCTCCGGTTGAGCTCAAGCTGATTTGTGGATTTCCCTTTATGGGAAGGAAGCACAACTGTTGATGGCGGGGAGGGGACAAATCATTCAGAACTGGATGAAGCCCTCAGCTCACGGGCAGTGGCATTTTCTCCAGCTCACGTTCAGTGACTTTGGAGAAGGCTGGGTATTTGTCCAGCGTCTCCCCGTACAGTGGGCAGCGTTCACTTGCCATCAGAAGTGCTTTCCCGTGTGGAAACGCCCCTCTGAAGGGTCTACACAGTATCAGAGGTAGGGTTAATCACTGGAGAGCTAAAAACGGGTGTGCTTCCAGACTTATGTGTTAAACAAAGATGTTGAAATCCCTTAGAACTCCCTGTTTCAAAAACAGACTCAGTCTCCCATGTTGGAAAACACAGTTGGGGATTCTGCTTGCTTGTAGGGAAGAATGTATTTCCATGTGGAGGAAAGAGAGAATGATCCTAGCTCATTCTCGTCACGAGCCAAGTAGAATTGAGTGCGTGTGTGTCCCCGGGCACCTGGATAGAGTTCCAGGTGGACACCCTCAGAGCCACACTTCAGAATTGTCATTTCGACCCTAGAATCCTTACTGACCATTTAAGCTGTAAATCAACTTTCTTGCTTTCTTTCCCCGTTCCCCTCAACATAGTTTAGAAAACTGCATCTTTTTTCAATGACTTTTTTTATTTTAATGAATTACTAGCATTATAGGGTGGATATAGTGGGATGACAGTTGTGGTAAAAATGAGGGGCCTTTTTGAAAATACCTCTTAAATAGCTGTGGATGGGGCCTGGGAGCCTGATGTGATAGTCCTGAGATAAGCATTAGGTTTATCTGTTACGTTGGTGAACCTGGTGATGGTTAGGCTACTCATAGACTGAAGTGGGACTGCTGCTTTACAAGTTGACCTTCACACTTCTTTCTTTCTTGTTTCCAGACAAGCACCGGTGAATTTCTCTGTTGTCTCCCTCTAAACATTCTAGTTTTGCCTCATGTATAGATTTTCTTTTTCAGTCCTATCATAAAATTTATTTGACTTTTTAAAATCGGTGTGTGGCAGGAGAAAAGTCAGATAATGTTTCCCAGGGCCTGCGTCTTCCCCCTCACCATCAAACATTCTTTCTTTGCAACCAACTAATTTGCATGGCGATGACATTTGTTGCTTCAGTAATTTCATCTGATAATGGCTGGGCTTGCAAAGCGGATCTGAAAACATATTCCTTAATTATGTGTTGCTAAGCAACGGGAGGGTTTGGTCATAATCACAGAAAGATTATCTGCATGCTGAAGTCCTGGAAAGGTTTTGCTGAAGGAGGACCTGTTAAATTGCCTTCTTTTCTTCTTTTCATTTCTGTTTATTTTGCACTGCCTTCTAACAAAAACAGTCGCTGTTATTTGGGGACGGGGCGAGGGATCTTATTTAAGTTGTTTGGAGTGTGATTGTTAACACGCGGTTTTGCAGACCTGGGGATATTGATTTCTGTTTCATTTGCATGGCAGCAAGCCTGTGCCAAGAAGCCTGCAGTCGGAAGTCGGCCAGGAAATAAATTTCTCTGTCAGATGATCTGTCCCGTAGCAGTGTTTCCTCTCATTCCTTCTCGAATGTTGACTGTGTCATCATGGCCCTCCCCCAAAAGCGATGTGTCAGGGATGGGGAGTGGGGTGGGGGTAGGCGCTTGGCTTGCCCCGGGAGTGTTGAGCCTGGACACGAGACATTTTGTGAGGCAGGTTTCCTAAAGGCAATAGCAGATCTGTTGGAGCCTACAGTGCTACTCCAGGTGATCACTTTGCCCCTGGGGAAGATAACACTGACGTTTCACTGATGCACCGCAGACCTCGGGTCTGGAAACCTGAAGCTCACGGGGGCAGCCCCACCGCCCTGAGCTGAAACGGGAGCCGGCGATCTTTCAATCCAGATCCCGCCGCCTCGGTCCTTTGCGGCACAACCAGCATGAATAAATCTTCATTCTGGCTTTCATCTAATTCATCTATTTGCTTCTGATCCGGCAGGGCAGAGGTGCCGGGAGGAGGCCTCCCTCCTCCCTCCCTGTAGAGTAGTGATCCGAACGCTTGTTTCTGAGCGCTTGGTTTTGTTTTATGTGCTTTGGGTATTTTAATCTTTTTCATCTTTTGTATGTTTTTCCAAGTGACTTTTCCATTCGCAGTTATTACAAAGTATTGGCTATATTCCCCATGTTGTATGGCACATCCTTGAGTACATATTTTAATTGGTATTTGCTTTTCTCCGTCCGTGTACTACCTGCTTCATTTTGGTTGGCTTTGTTGGTATAAATAACTGGCTCCTGTGGATTGGGCAGTGGAGGGTGGCCAGGTGAGGACAGGCCCCCAGAGCAGCCCCCAGCTCCTGTGATGCGGGATTACTGGGGCTACATGTCAGACCCATGTGAGTGGCGGTACCTGCTGGATCTGCTGCTGTTTACACGCTGACCTGCTCGACTGGGGCACAGGCTGCGGAACCTTCTGGCAGTGGCCATCACGCAGCGCTGCCCCCTCCCCCGTCTCACGTGGCGTTGACTGCAGCCAAGGATTTGCTGTCGCCCGAGCCCTCCCCGAGCCAGTGCAGCCGGACGCATCGCGTAAACGGCAGCTCCACAGCCATCTTCACGGGTTTGTCCCCCTGAACACAGCCACGCACGTGGGCTGCAGGCGCCACAGAGCCTCCAGTGTGAGAGGCACAGCCCCAGCCTGACCTTTTCCTGGCCCATTTCGGTTTTCGTCCAGGCATTTTTCTAGATAGAGCTCGATTGATGAGGTGCATCTGTAATCCCCATCTAGTTCCTGGGGACACTGCCCAGAGACCGTTCAGGACACGTTTACGTGGGGGAGGCTGGTGGTGTCGCAGTGTTAGGTCAACAGGATACTGGTCACTCTTGCTTCACTGCTAATGTTGTAGCAGTGGTCTCTAGCACCGTAGGCGTGCATGCCAGGTCCCCTGGGTAGGAAGTCCCACTGGATCTGAATGGAGGTTTGTTCTTGTCCAGCCATCGCACACCTGGTGACTCCTCCCATGCCCCTGCCTTTGTTTGAAGGTCCCTCTGCACAGGAAGATCTGTGCTGGAGAGTGGGGTCCAAATGATTCACTGGTTCTGAAAGTGGTGATCTGGAAACNTCGCACACCTGGTGACTCCTCCCATGCCCCTGCCTTTGTTTGAAGGTCCCTCTGCACAGGAAGATCTGTGCTGGAGAGTGGGGTCCAAATGATTCACTGGTTCTGAAAGTGGTGATCTGGAAACCATCAGCCTGGAGAGGGGTGCCATGAGACCCCCAAAGACATCCTCCCACCAAGCCAGCTGATCACACCCACTCCCCAACCTCAAAGCAGAGCTGGACCAGGAAGGGTGGGCTCAGCCAGCCCCCCTTATGTCCATACTCGGGGACTGGGTGTGGGGACCAAGCTTGGGAGCTAGCTGGCCCTGCAGAGAGCAGTGGGATGCTGACCCTGGCTCTTCGATTGTTAAGACCCTACATCCTAACCCCAGGAGATGTGTGAAGGGAGCAGGCCTCTCTGGGCTGTGGGCCAGGGAGGGTTCCTGAGCCCAGAGCCCTGGCTGAGCAGGGCAGGGCCAGAGCTCGGGGCTGGATCCCTCAGCACTGCTCCAGTCCCCTCTGTGTTCCAGACCTGGGGTCAGGTGTTGGGCGCTGAGACATGGGTGCACCCCAGCCTGGGCTTCTGGGGCATTCCCACCACCGCCCATCCAGTTAGTAAATAAAAGACAGTCACCATAATGCAATCAGGACGCACGTGGGGAGCTGCAGCACTTGGAATGCATCGCTGGAGAGCCTGTGCACTGGCAGGGGCCGCTGCGCGCAGGGCTCTGACTCCAGAATGACCGTCAGACTGTAGCCGTGGTGGTCGGGCCGAGGGAGAGGTCGCTGTGCAGACCAGCGCGAGGGCGGCTGTGTGCGTGTCAGTGTTTGTAGCCCCTTGAAGGCTGTCAAGGTCCTGGCTGCTGCCTGGGGCTCCCTGGGGCATCGCCAGGCTTCCCTTGCAGGTGGACCTCTACCTCCGAGATCAGGAAATCCTAGCCTCAGTTCAGCTGGAAGGGGGTTCGTCCAAAGCCCTTCCTCTCCCCAGCAGTCACTTCCAAATCGAGCTCTCAGGAAGGAGCTGTGCACTTTGAAGGTGCCGGCAGGCCATTCCAAGTAGAACACTGACACAAGTCCCAGGTCAGTGAAATCAACAGGCTTTGCTTTGCTTTTGTATTTGGTAGGTGTTTGCGGCTGGCAGAAGGAAAGATGGAGAAGGCATTGGCAGCCACTCTAGTCCTTGTGCCTGGAGAAGCCCATGGACGGAGGAGCCTGGTGGGCTGCAGNGGTCAGTGAAATCAACAGGCTTTGCTTTGCTTTTGTATTTGGTAGGTGTTTGCGGCTGGCAGAAGGAAAGATGGAGAAGGCATTGGCAGCCACTCCAGTCCTTGTGCCTGGAGAAGCCCATGGATGGAGGAGCCTGGTGGGCTGCAGTCTGTGGGGTCGCAAAGAGTAGGACACGACTGAGCGACTTCGCTTTGAGACTTTTTGGGGGGCTGGCCACTTGCACCTGGGTTGAGAGTCCCAGCTCCCCCTTTGGTTCACTCTTCTTCCTCCCGCAGAGTGCCCCATCAGCCAGGCCTGCTCTGGTCACTGTCATTGTCCTGGGCCACTTCCCAGGCCGGAGGTGGGAGTCTGGCCACGGGGCACTCAGCTCAGAGACTGGCCTTATCCCGA